AATAATCATCAATTAGACATTGAATAGATGTTGAATTTGTGTCGATATCATCGTATCGATATCAATTTGACATTAACTATTCGATAAGTTATTTCTCGTTGAATAATGTTTATTTTTTAAAATAAGATTTCTTTAAAACATATTTTCCCTATACGAATACTTTTTATACTCAATATATCTTTTATGTAGTCTTGCGATTCGAGTTAGTTGCTACGATATTACAACTTTTCTTATTCGGGACGTTTTATTCAATTGTCTCATTGCTGTTGGCAATGAAATATATCCTATTCAAAATGAAAAATCTAAATCAATTTTCTGATTTTAAATTATAATTAACTGAAAATATATATCAGAAAATATAGTTTAAAACGTAAATCTGTAACGAGTTAATAATGAGTAGACCTCGATTATGTAATATTTTACGTTTGATAGCTAAACATTTTCCTTTTTCTATTAAAAAAAGATAAAAATCCTCCAACAGGACAAAAAAGATGTATTGTTTTTACTATAGTAGTAAAAAAATTGCGAACAAAAGATCTAGATTTAAATTTAAGAATGTAACATCGAGCTCTATATAAGTAACTTTTTGATAGTCACTTATAGATAGATTTGTTGCGCAAAAACAATCTTTTAATGTATTGTTATTTACTAAAATCATCATTTCAAATAAATATTTTTTTTTTTTAATAACCTGAAAGAATTGATTAATTAAGCAGATCTTTTATTGGAACAGTATGCGCCACGATTCATTTATTTGAACTTTGGTACGAATGATAGCGACAATTTGACCGTGTTTAGATGTACCAAAAAATTGTATTATGTATTGTGAACATTTTTTAGTGCTGGCAATGTATATTGGAACACAGTTTTCATGTATTGTAGGTATTTCTGATGATTCACGCTTATCAGAGAATGAGATTTTAAATTTCATTGCATTCCCTTTTTAGATTAATTCAATTTTATTTTCCTAGTTTATATAAATCACATTATTTTCAATATTTATTAAGGTCACGCAATTTTTTATTTCTTTAGGAATATAGAATATTGGAAAATGAGCAATGTAAGAAAAGTAAAAAAAAAAATAATAAATACAATATATTAAGATATAATTTCCAGTTCAAAATAAAGAGATCTTTTATTCTTGAAATAATTATTAAATTCAATAATTTTGGAAAGAGAAAGTTAATTAATTATTTTCATTAAATATAAATTTATTATTTAAATATAAATAATTTATGTGTCAGTAAAAGTTATTAATTAACGTTATTATATTAATTAATTTATTATTAATTA